TTGCCTTTTTCACCATATTGACATTTGTACTCATGATGCAAAAGTGGTGGTGGATAAAATCCCTGGTATCTTAGGTATCAAGGAAGGGTGGGTGCCTTACTGTATTCATAGTTGTAATATTCCTCACCATGCTGTACTCAAAGTGAAAAACAAAAAAATCATGTTCTCTTAAGACTGTCCTTCATGAAATAGTAAAATGTATTGATTTTATGAAATTGCTCAAGTACTCTTCATTTTTTCATTTTTAAAAACATAAGTAACCTACAGTGAAATTCACCCCTTTTATGCTTCTGCAAAATTTGATACATTCATGGAGTTGTGTGATTACTGCTACCACATATAATATATAAAAGGGACTTATTACCTCTATAGGTTTCCCTTTTGATTGATTCCTTGTGCAGGCACCAGGCAACCAATGATCTGTTTTCTGTCATTGTAGTTTTGCCTTTTCTAGAATGTTTATATCATTGGATCCTGGGGCCTTCTGAGCTTATACTCTTTCACTTATCATAATGCACGTGGCGTTTGACCATGATGTGTTCCTTTTTATTCCTGAATAGCATTCCGTTGTGCAGATATACCACAGTTTGTCCATTTATTTGTTGACGAATATTTAGGTGGTTTTCAAGTTTGGGCGCTATGGATAAAGTTACTATTATTGTTTGTGTCTAGATGTCCCCCCAAAGCCTCATGAGGTTATAGGGCTTTTTCAGAGGTGGCTGAACCTAGAGTGTGTGATGCTGGGATTAAGGATGTATGATTACTAAATCATTCCCCTGATTAACCAATCAGTGGCAGAGGGACACTGTCCTAATTTCCTAGTCTGGATAAGATAAAAGGGGCAGAAAGATGCTGTAAGGTCTCATTACTTTTGCTGCCTTGTGGCTGCTATTAACTTGTTTTTCTCTGTGAAGCCCCTATGCCAAGCCACCCTGCCTTGGAGCCAGCTGATTAAGGACTGAAACCTGTACAAACTGTGAACTAAATAATCCTTTCCCTCTTTAACTTTGAGTATCAGGTATTTTGTCTCAGCAACAAGAAAAGTAACTAACACAGCTACTATAGCACTTTGCAGGTGAATATGTTTTCATGTCATCTGGGTTTCCTATTGGCTCATATGGTAGCTGAATGTTTAACTTTAAGAAAAATAAACTTTTTCCAGTCATCCCAATTTACTGTGTTGAGTTGGCATTGTACAGAAATGGACAACCATATTGGCCTAGAAATGTTTATTTTTATTTTATTTTTTCCATGTGTACAGGGGTAACACATCGTACTAAATATGTAAGGTCATATCTATGTGGGTTTGATTACAGAAACTAATAAAGTATTCTCTAAATAATGAAAAAAAGAATTAAGATAAGACTATAAGAGCGAGAAGCAATTTAAATATGTTCAGGGACCATTTTCATCTCCAGAATTAAGGATTATTTTGATGTTACATCATTGCCTTTTCTCTTTTACTTTCCTTTTTAGTTTTATTTTAGGATTCCCTATTTTTAATGTTCATACAGAGATTTCTTTAACTGAAATACCGAATAGTTTCTTTGGTGTGAAAAACTATAATAGTACACAGGATCCTAATGAGATAATTAATAATGTGAAATAGGAAGTAAAGGGCTAAAGGTGTAGGGAAAGTGGGAAGGGTGGGGGAAAGGTAATAAGGGAGAGGAAAAAAATATGAGAAACTGAAAAAACGGAAATAAAGTGTTTGTAAATGGGGAGGGGATGAGGGGGTGAAGGGAGGGCAGCGACAAGGGGGAAAATGAGAATCAAGACCTATTATGTAAAGGTACAGAATCCCAATGATTAATGTAACTGTATTGTATACCTAGATTGTACCAATAACCACAATAAAAAAAAAAAAAGAAAAATAAACTTTTTCCAAAGTAGCTGTACTATTTCCCATTACTCCCAGAATTCCAGATACCCACCAGTTTTCTAGCACTTGGCATTGTTGTGTTTTTTTTCCCCTGGGTTTTGTTTTGTTTTAAGGCATTCTAAATATGTACCGGTATCTCATTGAGGATTTAACTTGCATTTCTCTAGTGACTAATGATATGGGGCGTCTTAAGATGCTTATTTCTCACATGTGTGTCTTTGGTGAAGTGACCATTCAAATATTTAGCCCACTTTTAAATTGGATTTGTTTTCTTACTGATTTTGAGAGGTTTTTTAAAAAATATATTCTGAATATGTCTTAAGCCAGATATGTAATTTGCAAACATTTTCTCCCTTAGTACACATTTTAATATTGTTTATAAAATGGGGATTGCATAAAACATTTTGCTGTGGTGTGAAAAAAGATGGTTATCTCTAGGAAAAGAAGTTCTATGGTTAAATTATGAACTGAAATAGCTCTCTCCCCACCCAATAGAATCTCAGTTTTACTTGACAGAATGACTGGCAAAGTGGTTACTCAAATTGCATGTCTTCTTAAATTTCACCATTATCTAACATTCTTGAGATACTTTCTCAGAAATGAATGAGGCGAACCTGCCACTTTGTGGGAGACAACTAATGGTGCTTTTCCCAACTGGTAAAATTATATCAACTTTTGGAAGCTTATATCAACTTCTGTGATTCAATACTTAAGATTCTGATGAGAAACTATCAAAAAAGTGTCCACTCCTTCCTGTTCTACTTAGGGCGGAGTTCTCCTTGTGTGCTTCAGTGGAAGTGTATATCAAAAGACTGAATAAAGGAGGTATAAGAATCCAGCTACCAGATACTAAAGAGATTTCCAAAAATGTAAAACAGTGACATCACTAAATTTTGCTTTTTAAAAATTTAGTTTTTACATAAACATGTAGATTCATTTTAAATTAATAAATGTTTTAAATGTGTTGAATTTGTTCTATAGTAAATAACAGTAGGAAAAGTCCAATAATTTTGAAGGATACAGAGAAGTCCTGAGATGAAATAAGATTACAGACTGCTGCACAGAATTTAATTTCAGTGTTGTTGTTGTAGACCGGTGCTACAGAATGTAACATGCCCTAACCACATTTCTTGGTTTCACTTTGACAATTCTAGTTCTTCAAAAGGAATTTACATCTACCTAACAGAAGTGAGAAATACCATATTCTTTAAAATTAGCTATCTTTACAAAGTCTTCTTAAACTCTGCCTTTCTTTGTCATAGATGATATTAAGCACTTACCAATAAACCAGGTGTCTCACAGTGTGGATTTTTTCCACCAAATTGGCCAGATATATCAATAAAGAATAAAGATAGTGGTTTTACGTCTCACTTATATGCTCCTTCCTCCTTTTATCTTAAATATAATTTCTCATTAGCACTGAAAGTCTAATGTGAGAGGAACAATGAGACACCTGCTTAATGCATAAACTAGATGTGACCATCCCTTGATATTTCTTGTTGACCGCATAATTCACTGATTTATGCTGTCTGGCCCCACTAGCTGCGTTCTCTCTTTAAAGTTCAGCCTTTTGGCTCACATTAGCCTGCCATAAAGCTACATGATGTAATCAAAAATATGCTCAACCTTTAAAAAAGATTTTAAGTGTATTATAATAAAGAACACATTGCCATTTAACCCCCTCAATACTTCTTTTGCTTTGTACATACTTATCCCATCATTCTTGCCACTTTCTAAAACAGTTCTAAAGTCCTATTTAACGAGTGTCTTCGGTTGTGTGGTCACAGCTCCCTTGATGTCCTGAATCAATTCAGAACTTTTATCCATCATGGATATTTTAACTTTGGGAAAGAGCCAGAAGTCATATGGTGCCCCATTGGATGAACAGGTAGATAGGGACACATTGTAATGTTTTTATTTGACAGAAATTGCTATAAACATTTTGAATCAATCAAGAACACCAAGGAAGGCAAAAACCCAACCAAGAGGACTTCTTGAACTACTTGAGAAAGTGGCAAGAATGATGGGCTGTGTTCAAAGAAAAGGGAAGTACTTTGAGGAGGGAGTAATGGCAGTGTGTGTTTTACTGTAAAAATTTAAAACTTTTTATTTAAACATTACCTGTATTTTTTTAAATCACACCTCATAAATATTGCAAGATGGTTTTCTTCTTTTTAATTTGTATTTTCTCATTTCTCTCCTGGTACTTGAAATGTCAGAGGGAATAGGATGCATATAAATTCTTCCTTAAAGCCATAGACAATCAACATCCAAATCAGCTACAACATGTTTTTGTGTTGTTTGTTTCAGAAGAATTGGTTAAAAAATTACAAGATCAAAACAGTTCTCTTAGTTTGGGAAGAGTGGGGTTGTTAAGTTTGTGCAGGAGAGACTATGATTCTGAAGGGCTTCTCTTTGGCAACTATGTATGTAGTAGTTGTTAGAATATAACATTTAAATGATGTTGGAAGAGGAAATTCTCTAAAATGTTGTGACTGTATCTGATCTAGAAATAGGCTAGATGAACTGCACATGCCTTTAGTCCTAGCATTCTGAGAGGCTGAGTCAGGAGGATTGCAAGTTTGAACCTAGCCAGGGCATTTTAGCAACTTCTCAAGACCCTATCTCAATATTAAAAAAAAAAGAAAAGGGAGTGATTGGAGATGTGCTCAGTGCAAAGGTCCTAAGTTTAATCCCTTGTACTGCCAAAAAAGAAAAAATAGCTACATTATCATTTCCTGGTTTACTCTTACATTCATTCTAAAGAAGAAAACCCCTAATCTAGTATACAGAATTGCTTAATCTAGGAAAGTAGATATATTTGAAGCTAGTAATGTTGGAAATTTTCTAATAAGATTTTGGATTTTAAAACTTCTTAGATTTAAAAATATTTAAAAAACAAGCTCTTTTGGAATAAACCTTCCTCAGCCATTCCTGTCCCAAGAAAAGAAAAGCCATACTTGTGCTTTTTTCATCTGCATATAAATTGTTATCACACCAAACACCTAAGGGAATTGTGGCTACTGAGGTTAGTATATGATCCTTATGGTAGTGAAGTAACTTGTTGATGGAGTTTGTTGAGTGTGATTTCTCCTTTCCCTTGCCACCTTGGTTACAGAGAGGTACAGAAAGCAGTCAACACTGCCCAGGGGCTGTTTCAGAGATGGATGGAGCTCCTTCAGGACCCTTCCGCAGCAACGAGGGAAGAAATCGACTGGACCACCAACGAACTGAGAAACAACCTCCGCAGCATAGAGTGGGATCTGGAGGACCTTGATGAAACTATCAATATCCTTTTATGTGATGTCTGTGCTATATGGGGTAAATGACAGTTGGACAGTTTTTATCCAGATGTTTCAAGTACATAGGTGACACATTTCCTTTCATAATTAATTGATATTGCTTTGATTTGTACCAAGACATATTTAAAAAGAATTCCCTGGTAAGCTAAGGTAGAGTATTCTAATTCTTCTGTGGTACATGAAAAATCTTGCACTATAGAGGCAGCATAGTGGTTGTCACTTTGAACACTGCTGTGTTTAAGCACTGGCTCCTCTCATTCAAAGATAAAAATAGTTTTTTTCTTTATTCTCACATAATAAAATAATTTTGATATCACATACATGGCAAAACACCAAGCAGATCTGCAGCAGATACCAGCTGGGTGCAATAAAATTCAATTTAATTTTGAAACTAGCTGGAAATAGCATTATATCCCACAGGTTAAGGGCTCAGTTCCAACAAGATTGTCCCCAGTTCAAGTGACAGTGGCAACCCCCAGGTTCTGACCTGTGCTTATGACCCTCCCTCTGTTTGGTTTTGATTGATGTGTTAGAGTAGCTCACAGAACTGATGGGAATATTTTATTTGTATTTACTCATTTATACTAAAAGGAGGATTACAAGTTTGGAGGGTTGCTTGAAGGATGTGGAATATACAGATAAACATCTAGATTAGAGAAATGGCACAGGGCACTGTATGGGAGAAGGGACATGGAACTTCCCTTTCCTATTCATGAGCAGCACTGTCTAGGAACTTCCCTATGTTGAGCTGCCTAGAAGCTCCTTGAACCCTGTCCTCCAGTTGGAGTTTTATGTTATAACATCATAACCAGTTACTAACTGTGTTTTGGCGGTACATTGCTAAACTTCTGTGTGCTTCAGTTTCCTCTTCATTAGAAAAACTAATAGGAGTACCTACCTCATAGGATTGTGAGGGGCTTACACATACAGAGAGCTTAGCATGGCACTTGGCTTCTATCAGAGTATTACTAGTTAGACCAGGGGTGTAGCTCAGTGGTAAAGTACTTGCCTGCATGGTCCTAGGTTCCATCCCCAACACCACCAAAAAGGAAAAGTATTAGCAGTCATTATTACATAATGCAGACCAGTGTTATGCATTAGTAATTAGAGATCAAAAGAAAATCTTTTTGTCACCTCTTCGTGTTTAAGAGGTGATGTTGAAATGCCACTATCTATTGGAGAGTTCTGTTGTACCTTGAAACCGCATTTAGTAAAAACAGATCTGTTAACTGGTTAGTGTTAAATAAATTTTACTAATCTAAGTGATGAATTGGGAAACTTTTTTCAACTGAAAATTCTATTTAACCAAAGCTGTAGGTGGAAGACATGCTAGTTACACGTCTTGAGTTGTTTTGTTTTCCCCTAAGTGAGATAAAACATCCAGGAAACCAGCTTTTGTAGGGATCACTCACTTGTTAGCAGTTGATAGAGTATGTTGTTTATATTATAATGACCCTGAGTACCTTTTAAATTAATTAAAAGGTAAGTATGTTTTCTAAAATAAAATATGTAAAGGGACAGGATCAAAAACAGATACAGGAATACACCAAATATCTGTTGGTAGGTCAATAACTAAATTATAACTGGGTTCAGTCCTTAGTGCTACAAAAAAAGCGGGGGGTTAGCATCTTGATGTAAGAGGAAGTGGTTTGGTGTGGCATTGAAAAAGGCTTACAAAAGCTATCCTGGGAAAAGTGATCAGAAGCTAAAGAAGGATAGATAAAAGTGTTGGCAAACATTAAGACCGCTGCTCAACTGTTATCAGCCAGCCATGGAATTGAAGTGAGCTCTATCAACAGGGGCTGTTTCTCAACCTGGAAGGTCATTTTGGTGTTAGGGCAAAGAGATATTCATGTAACTGGGTAAGAAAGTTTGAGAAGGTTTAATGTCAGGCTGATTGTGTTTTCAGAAAGTTGGTGTCAGGTTTTATTGTTTGCATGTGAGTGATGCTGTGGTTTAACAAGGTTAGTTAAGCCTTTAATGATGAAATTGCTTTACCTTGACTCCTTGATCCACGCATAGTTGAAGCAAATCCTAGAAAATTCAACCTTGATGCAACTGAATTAAGTATAAGAAAAGCCTTCATTACAAGTACTCGGCAAGTTGTCAGGGTAAGGAATATGACTGTACTGTGTAATCTATGTAAGAAATAGCCAAACTTCTTAGAATTCTTTTTTTTGGGGGGCGGTCTGGGGATTGCGCTTGCAAGGCAGGCCACCGAACCGCGGAGCTAAATATCTGGCCCCCGAATTCTTTTTCTTAACTGTAAATGAATAGGTCAACTCTAAATATCACTTTCTAGGATGAATTAAATGCCTAGTTCCCATACACAGTATAACTTCTGTGGTTGAAAACAAAAGAAATCTGTTTTGGGTACTGTCAGGCTTATTGGAGCAAAAATGAGAACAATCTGTTAATTTGGGAAGGTTACTTTAATAGTATCATCCTACTTGTCTATAACTCTAGTTTCTCCAAACAACTGATCTTTTTTCTTTTTTATTACTGCACTCTTATTTCTGGACAGAAGAAAGAATTACTATTGTAGAAGCCATTTGGTTTCTTGATTGATTGGTAAATCACTTGCATTGTTGAAGAGTGACTTTCTGGGCTTGGATGGCGGCCTCTTCCACCATCTTAATTGCTTCTGGAACTCTTGCAACCCTGTGTTATTGACACCGCCATGTACAACTGCTTGACAGCCTTTCGGTAGTTATCCAGAGCAAGAAGTATCTACCAATGTGCGAAAAAAAACCCCATCCAGGTGGACAGATCTTTAGTTCTAAATTATCTAAAGTAATACCCATTATTAAAGAATCTAAGAGAAAATATAGATTAAATAAACATTAAGATATGTTTTGTATTTTGAAACTATATGGCTAAGCCATTTGATTAGCATAACTAGATGTAAGAGAACCAGCTGTCTTTAACATATGTACTAGAAAGCAGCTTCCTTGAATAAAAAGACTTGGGATCAGACCAGTGCTAACATATGGCAGGAACCTTGGTAGGTGTTTGCCAAAGATTTTCTATCATGTGATTTCCTTTTGAAATTATTTCAAATGGTAGATTATTACTGAACTTTATATATTCTTGTTTTATTCAGTAGTTGCTGTTTTATAATAAATAAGCCCACGTTTTAATGGGGCAAAAACTTTGCTGGACATCAGGTGCCCAAACTAGACAGGGTTTGGATTAGATGCTTCCAATTTCTAGTCAGTTTGAAATGTTATTCTGACAAAAAGTCTGTTTTTTGGGTGACTTTTTTTCTTGGTATAATAATTATCGAATTTTAAAAATAAAGATTGTGTTCTTTTTTTTCCTCTCCCTCTTTTACTTCCTTCCTTTCTGCAGTGAGTTTTGTGAAGGATACTACTATAGATCTTAATATTTAATGACTTCCAGTGAAGCATATATTCTTGATTTTACTTAATATATTTGCTTTTTCTGCAAGATAGCACTTAATGAATTTTACAAATTGGAATTGAGTGGTCAATATAAGGAACACTAGATTAGTTGGTATTTTAAAATAGAAAAATAGAAGTTCATTTAGTAATATTTGAGCCAGGGATTTAGCTCAGTGGTTCCTGCCTTGAAAACACAAGGACCTGAGTTCGATCCCCAGTCTCAAAAAGAAAAAAAAAACAAAAACCCTTTCTT